GTGATAAAAACATCATTGATCATTTCTGCTGTGATGCATCTCCTATCCTGAAGATCTCTTGCTCAGACACGTGGTTGATAGAACAGATGGTCATAGCCTGTGCCGTGATAACCTTCATCATGACCCTCTTGTGTGTAGTTCTTTCCTACATTTATATCATCCAAACTATTATGAGGTTTCCCTCTGCCCAGCAAAGGAAAAAAGCCTTCTCGACATGTTCTTCCCACATGATAGTTGTTTCCATTTCTTATGGTAGCTGCATCTTCATTTATGTCAAACCTTCAACTAAGGATGAAGTAGCTATTAATAAAGGGATTTCACTCCTTGTTACTTCCATTTCACCAATGTTGAATCCCTTTATTTATACACTGAGAAATAAACAAGTGAAGCAAGCTTTTCATGATTCAATTAAAAAAATTGCATTCCTCTCAAAGATGTAAAGAAAAAAAGTCAATGAATCCAATTAGAAGGAAGAGTGAGTAGGCACAGAGCCTGAATCTTTTAAGAATATTTTTAAATAGTTTATTCTCCAGTCATATAAACATTGTCACTTCCTTTTAAAACTTGCTTCCTATGAATCCTGACTAATCCTTCTTTTTTAACTCTCCATTAAAACTAAACTTTAAGAATGTTTATTCTCACTATATCGGAGAAATCTTTGTTTGTTAAATATGCTGGTTCTTATTCCTAAAAACACCTAATTGATAATACTAACCTGGGTCTGTCTTTTTTCTTATAATAAGTTCTATCTAATAAGTTTCTTATAATAAGTTCTGAATTTGTAATATCCCCACCTCGAAAGCAACATTTCAATTGTGGTTCAAAAAAAGGAATGGATGAGCCTGCATCTCCTGCCTCTCCCTACTTCAAAAAGTCCATCAGTGCAACATCAGACGGAGCCTGCACACAAAACTCAGTTACTTGGGTCATTAATCTAAATAATTCTATTCAGAAGTACATGTAATTAATGAAGTGCTCCCTTTTTATATATTCTGTGAATCCACAGTGATAAAGATTCATTAGGCATTTATACTGCTGGTTCATAAAGCAAGCTAGGTCTTAAAAAAAAATAACTTCGGAACCTTTACTCATTTGATCATTATCTCAACCACCTGTATTACTCAGGTTACTCAATGGCCCTTCTTGAGTTCATTTGAGAGGGTGTTCATTTCTTCCCTGGTGACCATGTGAACGTGTGTAAACCTCACAGCAATGAGAAGTCTTTCATCATTAGATTTCGGTACTTCTTCCTTCAGATGAGAGTATAGAATATTATGCTAATTTCCATGATGCATTGTGCTCCCTACTTTCCACTTGACTGTCTCCTCTCAACCTCTGTCTATTGACTCTGCGTTTCATTGTAAGAATTGTACCCCATCTCCAAAGAGTTTTTGTCACTCCAGGCCAAGGATGGTTTGGTAACAATCTTGGCATCAATTCATCTTGGCATCAATTATGTTTTTCTTTCTTCTCTTTTTCTTTTTTCTCTTTTTCTTTTTTATTACTAAAACCACATAAATCATTATGCTCCATGGGTATAAAAAGTCACTCTGATCACAATAGTCTTATATACCAAAAACGTTACATCATGAAAATCAGACTAACTGGGAATTATAAACTTTGCCCAGTGTTTCAAAGGTACTGTCGATAACAAGTTACAGGTCATATATTCTTCCCTTGGAAACACTCGGGATTGACAGCTGTGGCTTCTATAAAATGTCCTTCTTCTCCATAATAGCATGGGATGTGATTCATATTTGTCATGAGAGATTTAAGTGATACATGTGGAGCATTTAAGAAAGAGTCACTTTCTGTTATAAAGCATGTCTTTTTTTAATGTGTAATATATTTTGTTTTATATACTTCTTACATCATTTTTCATTTTTGTGCAATGCATGCATTTTCATTTTTGTTATATTCCCCATACAATTGTACTCCCCTTATTTTGACCTTAATCCCTCCACCCTTCCCACCCCACCCCACACCCGTAGTGTGTCTCTGGTTTATAGTTGCTTGTTGATTTTGGTTTTTTCTTTATTATAATTAGTCTTTTTCCCGGTCCCTTATTTGGGTTTTCTAAATTCCTGCTATGAGTGAGACCATCCGGTATTTTTCTTTTTCTTTCTGGCTTATTTCGCTGAGCATGATCCCTTCCAGCTCCATCCATGTCACAATGCCTTAAAAAAGACGTGCTTTATCTCTTTTTGATAAAGCACGTCTTTTTTAAGGCATTGTTTTATTTTTATCATTTACAAGGCATTTTCTATTAATATCTTAAGTCCATAAATTTCAAGTTTATTAAATAAATAACAGAGGAGAAGACTTTGTTAAAAAGATCTCACTGATAAAACCTCTTTTCTAAGGTTGTTTCTCTAGGGTGTGCCATTAATTAGCATGTTTCCAAAGGGATTTCACCAGTTCATATCTACCTCTCTTTCTCAGACAAAACTCCCTAATAGCCATTTAGTCACATTCTGTTCATTTAAACCACATTCCTTTCATTTGATAGTGTTACTTTTACGTCTTGACATACTGCTCCACCTATGTTGAACTTATGTTGAACTTTAAATATTGAGGCAATCCATTCCCAAATTTATTATCTGTATTATGCCACAGCTTATGATAAAATAAGTAAATTTTCAGAGACTTGCAGAATAAAATATTCTAGTGTGGTTAATTTAATAACATTTTATACCATTTAACTATAATCTAAAATTAAATCTTTAATAATAAAATTAGTGTAATCATGTCCACAGCTGACCTTCATTTTCTTAGACATTTTTAATAACTTCAGTTCTCAGGTATACTGGTACTTCACTTTTTATTAAAACACTTTTGTAAATCGAGCACTATACAAAAATAAACAACGTGTATGAAAATAAATAAATTTATCTCATTTTTAAAAAGAAAAAATATGGTGAATGAATTAGTTTTGTTGTACGTAACTAGCGTTTTCTGATCATTAATTACCAGGAAAAGTTTTTTTATCTGCTGCTGATTTTTCCTGTCATCATTTGTCTGTGCAATTAAAAAAATTTTTTTAAATACTCTTTTTAAAATACAGTTAGCAATGATTTAGCTCCTTGCTGGACGGTATGTTAACTCTGGAAATGAGATATTCTTGAATTTTTTGCTTTCACATTACCAATTATAACACATGTAAAAAGTATTGCACTTTTTAATATTTGATATTTCAACATAAATATTAACATTTCAGGAATATAAAGTAAATATTATAGTTTTTACTGTGTGATTTCTTAGATTATACAAATTCAAAATACTGTGAGGATGAGAAAGGAAAGACAGAAAGCACAAAATAAATACTCCATCTTTTTGCAATTGAATGAAAGCTGAACAACGACTTAAATATGCAGCAACTGTGAGTTTGACCTACTACATATGTTTTGATAGAAGGAGTCTTAATCTCAGGAGTACATTGACTTGGAAAAAACTCTTACTGATATAATAACAGGAGAATCACATGCCATGGAGGTCATCAGAGTATACTGGACAATAATCATCGAATATACAGTGGTCACAAAAATCTCCATATTTAATCAAAACAATTAGTGTACAGTCCTGCTAACAAAACATTCATGTAAGGATCCAAAAATATTGATGTAGCTCTTTAAATGCAGCTTATTTCTAAAACTATCTTGACGGTTGAAAACTGCTCTTTTCGGCTGACGAAACTCAACAAAAACAAAGTAAACAACCCAGTCAAAAAATAGGCAAAAGAGCTAAAAAGACACTTCTTCAAAGAGGAAATGCAAATGGCCAACTGGCATATGAAAAAATGTTCAACATTACTGTAATCAGGGAAATGCAAATCAAAACTACAGTGAGATACCATCTCTCACACCAGTGAGAATGGCACATATTTAAAAAGTCTAGCAACAACAATTGTTAGTGAGGATGTGGAAAAAATGGAACTCTCCTATACTGCTTGTGGGAGTGCAAACTGGTACAACCACTATGCAAAGCTGTTTGGAGGTTCCTCAAACTGCTCAAAATGGAGCTTCCATATGATCCAGCAATTCCACTTCTAGGTATCTACCCAAAGGACACAAAAACATTGATTCAAAAGGCCACCTGCACCCCTATGTTTATTGCAGCACTATTTACATAGGCAAGATATGGAAACAACCCAAATGCCGCAAAAAAAACCAACACAAATGACTGGATCAAGAAGATGTGGTACATATACACAACGGAATATTACTCAGCAATCAAAAAAGATAAACTCGTGCCATTTGCAGCAACTTGGATGGAGCTGGAAGGGATCATGCTCAGTGAAAAAAGTCAGAAAGAAAAAGAAACATGCTGGATGGTCTCACTTTTAGGAGGAATGTAGAGGATCCAGTAAGGGATTAGGAAAAGGAAGGAAGGAATGAAGGACATAATAAAGTAAATATCAAAATTAACAGGCAACTATAAACCAGAGACAGTCTACAGGGTCAAAATGGGTGGGAAGAGCATGAGGGACTAGGGTGATAGTATAGGGGTGAATTGGTGGTGGAAAGTTCACAGGGGCTATAACTGAGATGAGAAAGCTTACATTGTACAAAAATGAAGAATGATGTAAAAATATATAAAATTTTAAAAAATTAAAAAAGAAAACTGCTCTTTCATATACAATTGCAAAAGTTGCATGTTATTTTTAAAGTGCCTCAAACCTTGACATTAATGCACTATTGTCAAGCAAAACAAATTATATTGAGGGCAAGATGATGAATTCTGAACTTTATAACTTTATCAAATTTCTTTTTCAGAGTATGGCTAAGATATATAGATATATAGATATAATATAGACATAGGTATAGATAGAGATGTCAAAAACGAAGATACAGTTATTGATCTTAAGCATTTTGTGCTCATGTCCCTTTTATCAAAAAAAAGATAGTCAACAAGAAGTACAGACTAACTGCAGCACAACTGGCACTGAATATAATGAAAAATTTGGGATCAAGAAGAGGCAAAAAAAATGAGGTAGAAATTCAAGAAAATTTGCTTATGAAACCTACTTCAACATACTTCTAATTCCTTGAGAGCAGTGTAATTGTTTTACTAAGTCACTAAAGGCTTGTTTCACTTGTTTGTTCCTCAGAGTATAAATAAATGGGTTCAACATGGGGGAGATGGAAGTAGTTAATATTAATACCCCCTTATTCATGGTCATGTCATCTTTTGATGAAGGTTTGGTGTACATGAAGATACAGCTACCATAGGTGATGGAAACCACAATCATGTGGGAAGAGCAGGTGGAAAATGCTTTCTTCCTTTGCTGGGCTGATGGGAACCTCATAATTGTTCTCATGATATAAGTGTAGGACAAAACCACACACACGAGAGTCAAGATGAAGACGAACACAGAACAGGCAATAACCATCTGCTCTAAGAGCCAAGTATCTGAGCATGTGATCTTCAGGATAGGATTAGCATCACAGCCAAAATGGTCAAGGACATTAGTGTCACAGAACTCCAGTCCCAGTCCCACACTAAGTGGTGGAAATATAATCAACAAGGCAATTATCCAACAGCACAAAATAAGTCTTTTGCAGACCCTCTGGTTCATGATGGTCACATAATGCAAGGGTTTGCAAATGGCTACATATCGATCGTAGGACATAACAGTAAGAAGAAAAAACTCTGTTACTCCAAACAAGTCTATAAAAAATAGTTGGCATGCACAAGCATTGTATGTAATGGTCCTGTCACCTGTTGATAGGCTGTACAAGAACCTAGGAATGCAGGCAGAAGTGAACGAGATTTCTAAGAAGGAAAAATTCTGGAGAAAATAGTACATTGCAGTTTTAAGGTGGGAATCCACTAAAATGAGGAGGATGATGGTCAGGTTTCCAGTTATGCTCAACATGTAGGTGATAAATAGAAATATAAAAGTCAGAATCTTCAGTTGTGGGTCATCTGTTAACCCCAGGAGGATGAACGTGGTTATTGTTGAGTGATTTCTCATTCCTGGCTCCTGAATTCCTCTCAAACTGTGTCTAAAAGTAAGGAGATAAGACTCTGAGAAAAGGACACAATATTCTTTTCAGATGGGTATTTGGTTGGAAAAGTCAAACTATGCAATTTATTTGATTTAATGACAATTATTTCATTTTTTAATGGCAATTATTTTAAAACCAATTTTTGGCTCCTTTAAGATGTCATTTGAATGGTTTGATATGCACATTTCAACAATTGAAATCTGATACTACTTTTAGTTCTCTTGTCAATACTAAGTTTCTCAGAGAGACAGTTTTTATTTCTTCCATTTCTTGAGTTCAGTTTATCACCAGGTCTTGTCATTTTTGTACCCTTGATTTTGTTTCATTTTTTTCCTTTCCTCTCTCCACAACACAATTGGGAGCCTTTACAATCCCACTGGCATTGAACCTTCTGAATATTTTAATGACTAATTGAGATAATCACACAGTGATATAGTAAGTTAAAATTTCTACCCCTAACTTTTTTCACCCTTATTTTCCTCTTTCTCCTCATCTATATTTAACCCACAAATTACTCTAGAACTTATGCTAATATATCTGGGCACTAAGCAACAGCCACTAGAACCAGTGGATTTTCTTTCCTGTATTTGAAGCAGGTGAATTTTCTTAACTATGAAAGAATGCTATTCATCAGTAACTAAGACCAGCATTCAGGAATCAGCACTTTTGTATATGAGTCAATAGGTTTTTAACTTTCTTTTTCAACCATGATTATGTTATTAATGACATGGGATGATATTTCTGTTTGCAAATAAAGAATCTGAGTCTTTGGATTTTCCTCTGGGGTGAGATAAAAAAAGGATCTTTCATTGAAAAGTCATTAGTTTGCATATGAAATGTTTTTTAAAATATTTCCTATAAAGTGTACTCACAAAAATCCTAGCTGTATATTTTCCCAGTGCCTAAATAAGTTAGGTTTATTTTCTCCCATCAGCACATTAACAGATACTATCATTGTCCTATGTATCAAACAATAGTTTCTAGGGACCATTTTATCAAAGCAGCACTGATCAGAGCTCAGGAGAAGTAATTGTTATCTAGTAATTGGGAGTCTTTACACAGAATCCCATTGGAATTGAACTTTCTGAAACAAATTAAGAAAACTCTTAATCCCACAAGTCTTCACTAGATCCTAATACAATACATGTCCCAGCTTCTGCAGCCCTCAGTTTCATCATCAATACGTGTCTTCTGTTTACCCAGATATTAATGTAGGTTTTGATAAAGAAATTCAGGTGTATTTTCTATTAGTGTATTTCCAGGAGTACTTACATTTAATTATGTCAGTGAACTCTAGTGACAATATTACAGTAAATTAGACCTTTATGATGAAGGAAAACATAGTTATATCTTGGCATAAATTGTGATATGTGAAAATTACATTATTGGGCAGATCACTTCTAAATGTCTGTCAAGTTATTCTATTTCAAAGCATATTCATGAAATCATTCTGGTTCATTTTTTAAGAACCTATAGTAGGGCCTCCATGGTGGCCTAGGGGTTAAGTCTCAGCACCATCACTGTGAAGGCCCACCACAAGCAATGGCCTGAGTTCCATCCCAGGCCAGGGAGCTGACCCACTTGGTGCAGCAGACTCTCCTGTCTTGCCTGCTGCTCCCCGCAGAAGAGTATTTCAGTCAGTCTGCCCGTTCTGTTCCCCAGTCTGTCTCTGGTGAATTCTCTCACCCCCTTGCACCTATGCCCTGCACCCTAGTTTTTTTTGGCATAAATAAATAAAAACTTGGAAAAAAAAAACCTGTACTATACACTATGATTGATGCTACTCTTGCTATGAGGAAAAAGGAGTGAACAGGAACTGATCTAAATCTTTATTGATGCATGCAACAAATTAATGAATCTAATCATTTAACATTTATATTTTACATTTATAGGACTAAACACCATCAGATATAACTTTTCTTTTCCATATTATCATTTTCATTTTAAACATAGAAGTCTGGTATTTTACTGAGACCAAGAAACTAGAATGTTGAATAAAAACACTGAAATTAACAAACAAAAACATACTTACTCTCCTGGAAGACAAACTGACTTTAGTTGACAATGCAATTCTGAGAGACTCAAGATGAAAATGAAAGTGTAAGGAGAGTCAGTCTGTCCTTAAATGGCTGGTCATGCAGTTTTACATGTTTCTATGACATATTTTGGAACATACATGACAGCAGGATCTTCCATGATTCCCCCACACACAGACACCAGTGATATCCTATTCCACTGTATCTCTGGGAATCAATTCCTTGTTTCTCAGTACAAAAATCAAAACACCTATTTTAAAAGTTTGACAAGGACAAGGTGATTTGTGTAAGTTTCAGAAAGGTAACAGTTGATATCTCGGGACATAAATTTTACACAATGAATTAAGATGCTTTGTTATCTGTCTTTTATGGATTTACAAGGACCATCTGGGTGAATAAAGGGCCCTTTGTGACCAAAGTGCAAACATGATAATGACTCTAAGGAGAAGTGAATTTTGGCAAACTCCTACAGAGACATGTGGGAGCAGTGTCCTTGGGGACAATAATGCAACAACTTTGCCTGAAGAAAAAACAAAATGCTTCTGCTCAAATAAGAAAGCATGAAAAAAAACCTAAAAATTAGTATATTATCTATTTTTGTATATATGAGTACACATAATAGTAATATATTCATGTAGTTACAAGTAACTATGCCTTTAGAATTTCTATGTATAATATCATGTCTATGATATGTTCAATGATATTATTATACTTTTAGCATTCCCATTACCAATTATAACAAGTGAAAAAATATTGCACACCATTAATATTTGTATCATTTCAATATTAGCTGTGGAAATATTAGGGATTATATTTTTGTGATGGAAACGAAATATATTATAGTTTTTATTACACAATTCACCTTTCAAACATTGAAAAAAACTTGCAGAGTTGAGGTAGAAAATTTACAGAGACAAATAATGCACAGTCAATTTTTTTGCAATTGAGTCACATCTGAATATTTTTTCAATCATAGAAAAATATTATGCTGTGAGCACATTCATAATGCTACAAGTTTACATCTGTCTTCTTCTATGCTTCTAGAAGAAAATACAAGAACGTTAACATTTGTACTTCAGTGCTTTAGAAACTGAGTTTTTTCTTAAAAGTGATATTTAAGCAATTATTATGGGAATCAAAGACAGATTTATCAATTATTTAATTTTTAACTTTTGATTAAATATTTTAAACACTTTTATTGAATAGGAATCCATAAGGCCACAAAGTTTATTATATACACCTAAATTAGTGTGTCATTATTTTCTGATTAATTAGAGAGGTATAACAATCAGAAAGTTGAGGGAAAATGCTGAAGAACTGGTCACTTGAAAAGAAAACATCTTTGCTCTATGACGATCACTTACTCATTAAGTTCAGGACTTTTTTTCCTTTGCCAGGGTATAGCATCCTAGAAAGATATCTTTACATCGATTAATGAAAGGAAAAACAGGTTCATGTGGCTACTTATTACTTGAGAGTAGATATGAGAAAAATGCATTGTGACATAATCAATAAAAGAAAAGCCATATGTAGACCAGTGAATATCAAAATTACAATACATTTTTCTCACTCAATTCTGGAAACTACTGAGAAACTCATAGACAACCCTCTCAACAAGTTCAGATCTTTTGGATACTAGGAGGAAATCATACAAAGAAGAAATAAATTATTGTCTGGGCAAGCATAAATTTTTAAGTGATAGGAACTGAGAAAAAGAAATAAAATTCAAAAAAGTTAAAAATTATTGATGTTGAGCAGATTTTGAAAGCTGAATAGGGGAGTATATTGAGAGATTCACCAAAGGCTGTAGAAGATTTTATAGACCAAGATAAATCTAAAAATGAGAAAGGTCTTTGTATTTCTTTAATCTTTTGGACCAAATTCACAAAATCTCCAGATTTAAATAAAAGAACCCGTCCACAGTCCTGCTAACAAAACATTTCTTAAATCAAAAATTTTGATTGTAGGTCTTTAAAAATGCAGCTTATTTCTATAACCCTTTAGATGATTGAAAACAGCTCTTTCATATACAGTTGCAAGAGTTTGCATATTATTTGAATACACAGAAAGATTTCCCCATATATTTATTTCATATCATGGTTAATTTTAATCATAAAAATATTAGTTATTGTTGTAATCTTAAACAAAATTCTGGATAAATATATATCTAAACATAATATAGATTCTAGCCTTATGTTACATATGTATAAAAATGGTCTGTAAAATATTTACCTACAAGATGTTGTGATTATTTTGTCTCAATTTAGTCCCTTTTTTCAAGTTCTAAATAGACATACCTATTCTCATGAGTTCTGAATATTGTTTTTATTATTGCCATTCTTGAAGCAAATCTCTATATACCTATCTACTTATGTAGATATAGACATAGATACTGTATAGATATATATAAAATATAGACACGGGTATAGATATAGGTATCGATGATAGATCTGAAGATATAGATATTTATTTACCTTAATCATTTTGTTATATACCATTTATCAAAAAATAGATAGTCAACAAGTAGTACAGATTAAATAGAACACAATTGGCACTAAATAAAAAAATTGGGGATCACAAAGAGGCAAAAGATGAAGTAGAAACTCAATAAATTGAGCTTATGAACCTATTTAAATATACTTCTAGTTCCTTGAGAAGAGTATAATTGTTTTACTAAGTCATTAAAAGCTTGTTTCACTTGTTTGTTCCTCAGAGTGTAAATAAATGGGTTTAACATGGGAGAAATGGAAGTATTTAATACTGACATTCCCTTATTCATGGTCATGTCATCTTCTGATGAAAGTTTCATATAGATGAAGATACAGCTGCCGTAGGATATGGAAAGCACAATCATGTGGGAAGAGCAGGTGGAAAATGCCTTCTTCCTTTGCTGGGCTGATGGGAACCTTAGAATTGTTCTGATGATATAAACGTAGGACAAAACCACACACGCGAGAGTGATGATGAAGATCAACACTGAGCAGACAATGACCATCTGTTCCATGAGCCAAGTATCTGAGCATGCGATCTTCATCAGAGGATTAGCATCGCAGCCAAAGTGGTCAATGGCATTGGAGTTGCAGAATTCCAGGCCCAGTAACAAAATAAATACTGGTGATATCAACAACAAAGTCACCATCCAAGAGCAAAAGACAAGCATTTTGCAGACCCTGTGGTTCATGATGGTCACATAGTACAGGGGTTTGCAGATGGCCACGTACCAATCATAGGACATAGTGGTCAGGAGAAAAAATTCTGTTACTCCAAACAAGTTTATGGAAAATAGTTGGCATATACAAGCATTATAAGTAATGGTCCTGTCGCCTGTTGATAGACAGTACAAGTATCTAGGAATGCAGGCAGAAGTAAATAAGACTTCTAAGAAGGAAAAATTCTGGAGAAAATAATACATTGCAGTTTTAAGGTGGGAATCCACTAAAATGAGGAGGATGATGGTCAGGTTTCCAATTATGCTCAACATGTAGGTGATAAATAGAAATATAAAAGTCAGAATCTTCAGTTTTGGGTCATCTGTTAACCCCAGGAGGATGAATGTAGTTATTGCTGTGTGATTTCTCATTCCTGGCTCAGGAACTCTTCCCAATCTGTGCCTAAAACTGAGAGAGAGATCTCAGAAAAAAAGGAAAAAATATTCTTTTCATATGGGTTTTTGGTTAGAAAGTCAAGTCATGTAATTTATTTGAATTATTGACAATTATTTTAAAACATTTGACTCCTTAAAATGCCATTTGATTGGCTTAAAATCTTGTATCTCAAACATTATGAGCACATATAAAGAGTAATACATTTTACACTGCACTGGGGTGAATATTGCATTCACATGTAACAAAATTGTATACCGGAAACAAATTTTTCAAGAAATAACTAACATTTAACTTCCCTTATGATTCTTTTTTAATCTATCTCATTAAAAATAAGCATTATATTGCCCAAAAATAGATAACTGGATCAAGAAGATGTGGTACATATATACCATGGAATATTACTCAGCATTCAAAAAAGATAAACACATGCAATTTGCAGCAACATGGATGGCGCTGGAAGGGATCATGCTCAGCGAAATAAGCCAAAAAGAAAAAGAAAAATACCGGATGGTCTCACTCATAGCAGGAATCTAGAAAACTTAAATAAGGGACCAGGAAAATGAATATAAGAAAGTGAAAATCAAAATCAACAAAAAACTATGAACCAGAGACACTTTTTGGGGGGTGGGGGGCGGGAGGGGAAGGATTGGGGTCAGAATGGGGCGTTTGCAATTGTATGGGGGAATATAAAAATAAAATTTAATATTAAAAAAAAAAAAGACAGAATTCTACTACTTAACAGAGTTGCTTTTATTAAGGAGAGCATGTCACTGGTTTTAATGGATATGGACACTATTTGCAGAGAATGGAAAAGAGAATAAAAATCCTTAACAAAGAAAAAAAAATAAAATAAAAATAAGCATTATTGTTAAATTGATATTATAACTGCTATTTGTAATGACCTGTGACTTGGCAATAACAGAATTGTTTAAGGATTCATTCAACAATAATATAGTATAAAGAATGATAGGATCATTTCTCATATTTTCAAAACTTTGCTCTTTATCAGTTAATTTTTGAAATAGATTAACTCATAGCATATATCTGTTTCCCCACAAGTAATCACTGGTGAACATTAAGTTGTGCCTTTTTCCCAAGATTTTCCCATCTTTGGAAACTAAAATTTAGCTGTGTTTCATTGATCAACTTGAACCTTTTTTCCCCTGGATAAGCTGTAAACACCTGGGATATTCTGATGCAGACATTGGCTGCTCCATCTGGTACAGCAGTTGAAGACCCTATTCCACCGCCATTTTGAAACCTACAATGAATCTACAAAGAACATCTCGTCATAAACAACATCCCCTGACTCATAAATCTGATGAGTTACTTGAATGTTTATGCCTTAGTCTGATTTTCCCTGATGACCCATTTATTTCCTTTGGTGCAAAACACATAGAGAGTGTTTTTCACATTTGAAGGATTAATTAGTGAGTGAATGACCTGCTGAATTTGTGGACAACAGATATTATCCTTATTGATTGATGATTTCAATCTGTATTTGACTCACTAAAACACATTCAATCTCTTCTTATCAATCATTCATATTATTAGCTAGGTAACTATTAAATAGATGGTCTAGTTTTGGTTTTTAAAATTTCCATAATTTTCTCTAATTTCTGATTTCCAGATTAGTTTTAACTATTTATGATATAGCTTCTACAGAGATCAGAACTTTAAAAAAAAAAAATATTTCCTGGGCATTATCTTAATTGTTAAATGAAGTATAGTAACTTTCTTTGAGTTTTTCCATGTTTTTGACACTATCAAACCAAAGTCTAATGGTTCTACATGAGGTGTCTATGATGGGGATCCTCTACCAAATTTCACTGGTAGGTGCCAAAACAAGAATTAAGGAAAAATTAGACAAGTTTCTGAGTTTGTGACCTAAGGAGAGTATGCAAGGCAAATAACAATAGAAAATAATCTGCTTCTTCAACATAGAGGAAAAAGCATTTGAAAGTTTCAGCATTTTGCTGAGATTCTCCCAGAGAAAATTTACATTTGTGGGACTTTGTGCCTCTAATGCTATCTCTTGATACTCTAATATCTACCCCTTTCTTTCAGGTTTTAGTTTAATGCTAGTTGGACCAACATTTCTGTTTACTGTTGCCACTGCAGCCTATGATGATCTCACTGTTATAGTGTTGGTCAATTTTATTTTTAGAACCTCTGTCTCCAGTGGCAAGCTTTCTTCCAGGGCACACACAGTGTTCCCTCAAAGTCACTGAAAATGGCGAAGAGAGATTTCATGTTTGCCTTTTCATCCAAGAACATGTTCTCATTTAAACTGCTTTAAAAGACATCTAGAAAATATTTCTATTTGAACCTAACATAAAAATATACTCAATGTTTTATTACCTTTTATGTTATCTAAATATGAATGCAAATCTCTATATTATATTACTGTGGACTGTTGTGCAGTAACAAGATAGTTCAGTACTTTATCAGCTTTTGATATTGACTGTCTAATCTCACTTCAGTCAGTTCCCTCAATATCATGTGACTCATGATATTTTAATGACTAATGACACAATGACACATTGTATCACAATGACACAATGACACAAGAATGCTTGCACATAGTAAGTTAAAATGTCTACCCCCAATTCTTTCTCTTCTGTATTTTCCTCTTCCTTTTTATGTCTATTAAATCATAAATTACTCTAGAACTTATGGTAATAGATCTGGACACAAAGCAATGTCCACTGTGACCAGTGAATTTTCTTTTCTGTATTTGTGCAGGTGAATTTTCATAACTATGGCTATTGCCATTGTGAGTAACTAAGACCAATGTTCAGGCTTTGTATACAAGGCGATAGATATTTCTATATATTTTTCTCAACCATAAATATGTCATTAATGTAATGGGATATTTTGTAAATAAAGAAGCCAATCTGCATTTTCGACTGTGGTGAGGTAGCAAAGGATCTCCCACTGAAAATATCATTGGTTTGTATATGAAAGTTTTTTAAGTGCTTGCGGATAAATTACACTCTCAAAAATCCTAAATGTATGTTTTTCTGGTGCCTAAATAATTTAGGTTCATTTTTTCCCATTAAGATACTAGCAGGGCCTTCCCTGGTGGCGCAGCAGTTGACCCCTGGGCTGTAAAGGTGCCCACAGCCTCTGCAGCGCCAGTTCGATCCCCGGACACCAGAGATGGTCCCACATGGCGCCACAGACCTCTCCTGCCGCGCCCACTGCTCCCTTCAGCAGTGTACTTCGGTCCTTCTGCCTGTTCTGTTCCCCATTCTGGCTCTGGTGAATCCTCTCACCCTCCCACGCTTCTGACTGTACCCAGTGCTTGTATAAATTAATAAATAAATCTTTTTTAAAAAAAAGATACTAACAACAGTTAGCAATCCCACTGCCCACCTGTGACTATGCAGGTGTCCCTTTTCACCAGCTCTCTCCCTCTGCAGGGCAGCAGCCTCCTGCCGGCCTGTGACCTGTCAAGGCCGCCAGCCTGCAACCATGCAGCCCTCTCTTAGCAAACCTGTCCCTTCTGGGGCAGCTCATCCTGCCCACTTGTGTCTATGCAAGTGTCTTTAACTGTTTTATCCCTTCCCTAATAAACCTGCCCTTAAAATATATATATAAAAAAAAGATACTAACAACAGACACTATCAATCTTCTATATATCAGACAACAGTTTATCGGGACTATCAGAGGAACATGATCAACGCCTTGAAGTAATTATTATCCTGAAATTGGGCAACATTAAAGGAATCCCACTGGAATTGAATCTTCTAAAATTAAATAAGAACATTCTTAATCCCTCAGGACTTCAATAGCATCCTAACCCAATCCATGTCCCAGGCTCCCCATCACTCCTCTGTACTCATAAACACATGCCTTCTGTTATACTCAGATATTAATATAGGTTTTCATAAAGTAAAGATTCAGGTGTATTTTTAGTGTACTTATCATAGTATTTACCTTTTATTAGCGCAATGATTATACTAACAGTGTTGCAGCGAACTTGACATTTATAATGAAGGGGAAATAGTTACACTTTAGCATAAATAGCTATGCTGAAAAAATTACATTGGGAGGCAGATAACTTGTGAATGTCCATCATATTATTCTGTTCCAAAGAGTCCTCCTAAATCACTCAGGTTCATTCCTGAAGACCTGGGCTATCTACTATGGTGCTACTCTTGCTATGAAGAAAAAGAGATGAACAGGAACTGTTCATCAATGCAGCCCACGGATGAATCCCTTGGGGCTGAGATAGATTGTCCCATGATCCCTACAGATGCCTGCAACAAATTTACAGATTTTACAGATGCATGCAATAAATGTTACTAATGAATCTAATCACTTAGCATTTCACTTTTATAGAAGAAAATAATATCATGAATTCTGTTCTTTTCCTAGTATATCTAGATTATTACTATTCTAATTTTAAACATAGTAGTCTGGTATTTTTCTAAGACCATGAACTAGAAAGTTGTGTAAAAACACTGAAATTAACAAACAAAACATACTTACTCTCCTGGAAAACAAAAATGGCTTTAGTTGACTATGCAAACCTGAGAGGCTCAAGATGAAAATGAAGTGTAAGGAGAGTCCGTCTGTCCATAAATGCCCGTCATGGAGTTTTGCATGTTTCCATGACATCTTTCAGGAACATACATGACAGCAGGTCTCCATGATTCCCACACAGACACTCTTTGATGTCCTTTTCCCCTGCAAGTCTGGGAAACAATGCTCCTTATATCTTAGAACAAAAACACTTATTTTAAACATTTGATAAATGTAAGATGATTTTTATAAGTTTCAGAAAGATAATTCCTGATATCTTAGGACATAAAAGTTTACACAATGAATTTAGATGTTTTGTTATCTGCCTTTTATGGATGTGCAAGGACCATCTGGGTGAACCAAGGGCCCTTGTGACCAAAGTGCAAGCATGATAATGACTCTAAGGAGAAGTGAATGTTGGCAAAGTCCTACAGAGACATCAGGGGGAGCAGTGTCCTTGGGGACAATAAGACGCAA